TATATATATATATATATATATATTGGATCGGGATGCGCACCGCAGTGATATGATGCTTGGGCAGTAGGAGATCCTTCGGAGTCTGTACACCCCCAGTGAGCGTAGTCGACTATAAACTATGGATTGGGCTGCACGCCGCAACGGTTATTATGATTATTATTATTATTATTATGAGATATTATTGAGCCGGAGGGCTGAGTGTGAGTACTGTTGACGAGAGTTGAGTCATGAGTAACTGAGAAGCTTGCCCGAGAGGCTATACTTATGAGTGATACCTTGCTCGAGGGGCCCATTTATGACATTTTTCTACTTTCACTCTTCTTTTTAGATTGAGCATCTGTTGAAAAATGTTTCTTAAATGATTTCAAAATGTTCTAATTGAAACTGAAGTTTTAGGAGATAACTGACCATGGCACTGCTGGTTTTGACTTGATATTTCTGTTGAGAACTCTTATATGGTTTTAAATTGCTCGTCACTACACTGAGACCTTATTTACTTTAGTTAATTACTGAGTTGGCGTACTCACGTTATTCCTTGCACCTTGTGTGCAGATCCAGGTGCCCGAGCATCAAAGTGAGAGCTTCCAGCAATCTTAGAGCTTTACTGGAAATCGCAAGGTAGCTGCACGGCGTTCGCAACCCTGCCGTCCTCCCTCCTATTTTAGTATTTTGTTATTTCGAACTTATTTTGTTATTTCTTGGTTGTATTTAGAGGCTCTAACTAGTGACACTAGATTGTTGGGTTGTGTTGGTATATTTTGTATTGATTTTCGCATATTTTTGTTGATTTATATATTTCATATGAGAACTTGAGACTTAATCGGTTTTAGAGAAATGATTTTATAAAAAGAATTCACTGTGGCTAAATGTTGGGTTTGCTAGCCTAGTACTATGGTAGGCGCCATCACGACTGGGGTATTTGGGGTTGTGACTGTTGATACCCAATTTTCTCCCTATATATTTTTCAATATGCAAAATACCTTCAAAATAGCATATGTATGCATATCTAAGTATGTCCAAGTGTTTTATTATTTCTCCTTAGTTTTTTAAAGGTTTTAAATCAATTTATTTCTCGATCTTTATCCATAAAAATTCAATAATTATTTCCAAAATTATCATTTTTGGATTCACTTATTGAACTTTTATATTTATGCTAAAATATAGCTAAGGGAATTTTTGCATATTTGTTTCAAATTTATTTAGTATTTTTAAGGCTAAATTGCATAATTGCAATATTAACCTCTTTTATGAATTAATTGCGTTTATATTTATGAAAATTATGTCCAGTATTTTTAAATTGATAATTATATGTCATAATTTATTTTAGTACTTTTAATTTATTTCCATAAATTAATTTACTATTTTTTAAAAGTTTAACAAGGGCAAAAATGGCTACTTAAATGATAGCCCAATTTTATTTCAATTATAGCCTAATTTGGCCCCAATCTGAACCCAATTCTTTCGGCCTAATTCCCACTCAAACCCGACCCCCTAAACTAATTTACACGACCCAACCCGAATCCCCACCTAACCCCTTTATCCCAGCCGTTGATCATTTAGATCAACGACCACCAGTTTCCCTTTCCTTTTTTAACTCCAAACAACCCCTACCCTACTTCATTATTCACCTACTGTCGCCTTTGAATCCCTCTTCTCTATTAACTCTCTCTAAAACTCTTACGAACCCTAGCCGCCGCCATCAAACTACACCCTAATCAACCTTAAACCTTGCCAAATTCATGGCCTCCCATGGCGATTGGAGACGTGTAGTGGCCTTCTATGGCTCCTGGGTGTTTGTTCCCGTGGTTTCATGGCCAGAACTTGAGGGAATCTTGTCCAGACCTTGTTTGATTTTAGTTTGTGGCTTTTCTCCGGTCATCCTTGACCTTTCTCCGGCCAGCCATGATCGTTCGAGTCAGATACTTGACTCTCCTGGTTAGATCGGTAACTTTCAGGGCCTTTCTCACCTTTTCTATGTTTTTTGAAACCCTAATCTTTAAGATCTTTCAACTTTCTCTCAAATCTGCTTTATATCTGTACTTACTATGACTTTCTTAAGTGTTTCTCGAAGGTTCTTTAACTTTGCTCTCAAAAGGACTCTTCATTTTTCGATTAGGGTTTTCCTTTAAGTTATTTCAAAAATCCCTTCTCTGATTTTAACGTGTTTGTGATTTTGCTATGTTTTGCTCATATTGTTCTTCTATTTGAGTTAGCATATTGAAAACCCTAATTTCTTTTGGGTCTCATTCGAGTTCTGAAGCTGTTTGTTAGATTAGTACTTGTTTGTGTAAGTTCTTGTTTGACTTATTTTTTTATCATCTTTTAAACTCAATTATTGTTGAAAACCATAAGTCTTCTTAGTCTGAAACTGTTTGTTTGAGCATGCACTTAATTCGATTTAAGTTCTTTGTTTGTGACTCCCTCTTCTTTATGTGACTTATCTGATTCCGAGTTTTACTATTTTTTAAACTCGACTTGAAACCCTAACTTTTCAAAAGGTTTCCTCACCTGTTACTGTGAGACCTTTACTTGTTTGACTCTCTTCTTCACTTTGGCTATATGTGTGAGCCCTGACTATCTAGTGAACCTTACGCTTATTTTTGCTACTATTGCATGTTTCTTCTTTTGCCAATAGGATTGGCCTCGTATGTCTGATGTCTCTGTTCACTCTCTTTATATACTGAAATACAGAAGCATGTTTCTTCCTTGATTGATCTTGATCTTGTGACTGATTTCAAAGCTTTTCTTTTATGAACACTAATTTCACTCGCCTGTTTAAAATTGATTGAATATTTTCCCTTTACTGTAATATTTACCTTGCTGAATCCTTTCCAAAAATAAGCATGATTTCGTACTCAGACTTGATTGTTCACTGCATGCTTTTACTACCCCTTTTATGGCAATAATGAATCTACTCCCAAACTGATTTCTTTCCTTATTTGAACATGTTACTACCCGTTAAATAGTGATTCCTTAATTAAAGGGAATCACTTGTATAATTGATTCTGATTGTTGATTGTTTCCATATTTGTATTAAAAGTTTACTTATTACCTTACTTTTCACTCGTTTTCAGAAGCTATAAATACCCTGCATCCTTTTTCTTTCAAAAAAGACGAACCATCTGAGTTCAGAACACACACTTCACTCAAAACTCTCTCTATTTTCTCTGTTACTACTTGGCTTACTGCTTGATCTAGCCGGCTGAAAACCAAGGCTAGGCTGTGAAAATTTGCTTACTTTTCCTTTCTGCATTTGCTTCTTACTGGTATGTCGTAATTAATCTTCGAGCATCAAAAACAACATGTTTCTTTAGCTGTTTCCTTCACTCTTGCCTGTTTCTACTTATACTTATGCAATCAGCTTTCATTACTAAGCATGCTGTAATCTGCTCCCTCCCCTTCTAAATTAATGTGTTCCCTTATGTATGTACTTTCTCAGTAACTTGATTATGTGATTTACTGACTTATGAATCCCAAACCCCATATCCTCTTATGTGTTTGTATTCCCTGGCTGGCTTATGGGCATGCGAACATCATCTATTGCTGTGCATGTCTAAACCTGACTCCTCCTAGGGTCATATGCTCCATGCAATGTATTCCCAAACCCCTGACCCCTTTGTGCAACTATTGATTCTATTTTACTACTACTGTTTTCAAATCGCTCTTACCCCTTACTATTCTCAACCCACTTTTAAATAAATCTCTGTTTCTGCACTTCCACTATACTCTTAGAACATAGGTTCTGCCCCTCTTGTGTGAGCCTTGCCTTGACACCCATGAGCTCTCTCTGAACTTGGACACATAAGGGCTGGCCCTTCCACACTGCACTCATCTCTATTTGGTTATGCAAACGTGGGTGTAAGCATTGCTTGGGGTCCCTTGAGACCCTTAGGGAACTTTGACACACCCAGGTCTGAGAAAGGTTTTTGAAACAAGTAATGCTTGAGGTGGTTTATTCCATAACTCAGAGAGGAAGTCAAGAATCAGGCTTTCTTTGGTTGTAACTTCTTCTTTTACACTTTTCTGATGTAATTCATTATTTGGTCTGTAATAATTTGTAATAAACATCGGGGTTGGCTAGTGAAAAGGGGATGGGTAATTATGCATGTTTAGCTATTAGAAGGGTAGAAAACATGCCTATAAGACCTGCTTTAAGTTCTGCATGTTTAACTCTGCATTTAGATAACATGCCTATAGGACTTGTTTTAAGTTCTGCAAGTCGTTATTACCACACTTAGACACCATGTTTTAGGATCTAAACGGCTATAATCAGACATCATATCCATAAGGTTGAAATAAGTATTTTTCATAGAAATCATGCCTATAGGAATTTCAAGTAATTCCTGCCTGTTTCATTTCACGTTCAACTAGATATCATGTCTATATGAATTAAAAATTAGCAATAATAGATATCATGCCTATAGGATCTGAAACCGGTCTAGTTTAAAATCAGCTTAACTCGTACTATTCTGAACTAGTTTTAAATAACCTACTCTCCTTTTATTAATACGATTTAGAAAGAATGCCTATAGGATCTCAAATCGCTAGTTTTAAACTGTCACTGTTTTGCTACACTCCTAATCAGTAATAATAATCAATGTTTATAGGATCTCACCAATCACACTTAGGTAAGCCTTAGATGACAACAAGAAAAAATTGAACCCACCTTTGTTAATTAGTAACTGCTACAACCAGCAGGCACGCCTAATTTGGACTTCTTATCTGAGTTATGTAATAAACTGGTCTGCCTCAACAATTAAAACTCCCCTTGCCTTAGTACTTTAAATTCAGACCCTGATTGTGTTTAAGTCATGTTATTTATGTGCTTTGCTTGAGGAGGTATACATGAGCCTCTTAGTTGTTTACATGTTTCCCTTAATGTGCAGTCCGATGTGTTTTTGTATGTCGCCTTAGCTTTTTCACCTTTTGAAACCTAAAAGTTAGCCTAATATCCCTCCCCTTTAGGAATAGTAGTCCTAAGTTCCTCCGGGACTGATAGGAATGGGACGGGTAATAGCATGCAATAGTGGTCGAGACCAATCCGTGCTTTAATACCTTAACGGGGCGGGAAGGGTAGATATGAATATGATAGCCGGTGCGCTAATACCAAGTGTATCCCCTCTTTTGAAGAGTGTCATACCGGGTATCGCATTGATGTGATCCATATTATAAATAAACCTAGGACCCCTTTCCCTTTCATTTGCAACTTCTTTTCAAAATTCATCTTTTAATAATTGTTCTTTCAAACTCTTATTTGTTTAAACGGAAATCCCCTACTATTTGAGCCTATACTCATTTATTTGCTAAATTGCACAAATTCACAAAAAACTATCTGGCCGGGAACCACACTAGTGGATCCTGAGGGGTGCCTAACACCTCACCTTATGATAATTTCAAGCCCTTACCCTATCTCTGGTTATCAAACAAACTTAGAAGCGAGCGTTATGGGTGTCCTAATGCACCTTAAATCATTAGGTGGCGACTCTTCAAAATGCAAAACCCAGTTCCCAAAAGGAATGAGTTGTCCTATACCAAAATATCATAAACCCGATTTTCCGATGCAAAGAGGGAAAAAGGGGGCGCGACAATGTGGAGACTCTGCTGGGGATACATAGGCTTTTACCACTTCATATTGTTCTTGTGAATTTGTACCCTCCCTTATGTGCAATTACTTGTTTAATTCCTTTAAGTATTTAATTTCTTTTCAAAAAGCAAAACTGACTTATCTTCTTTGTTTCTTTCCTTTATTACTGCTTTAAATTATGAAACTGCTGTATTTTTTCCTTTCTTAACGTGTAAATACGTGCCAATATGCTTTTA